TGCGAACACAACACAGTTGCCTCACTTGCGCCTGCTGCCCTGGTGCCCCACAAACTCGACGCTGCCTCGTGCATGTGCATGCAGTGCATGGGCTTGGTGGTCCTCCACACCTCCATTGCCATTGCCATTAGCACTGCCGCTGCTGGTGGTGGTGGTGGTGGTGGTGGTGCCGTTAGCTGGTGGGAGTGCGCACAGATCCACGGTGTGCTGCTGCGTGTGCGGGCACAGCTGCACGTCGTTGCCGTAGCTCGTGCCAAGTGCACCATCGCTCCCGGCACTGTCGCCTGCGCATGTTAGTTGTTGTAGAGAACACAACACAGGAGCGAGTCAGTGCGTGAGTGTTTGTGTCAGTGAGTGAGTGTATGTGTCAGTGTGTGTGTGTGTATGTGCGTGTGTGTATGTGCGTGTGTTTGTGTGTGTGTATCGTGCGTGTGCTTCTGAAGTCAACATGGCGATTGGCACTTGCAAGAAACAGGAGGGAGTGCCTCCAACCACACAGAACACACAAAAAGTGCGCGCGCACAATCACAATCACACGTACAATCAAAATCACACACACACACACACAGTCACAATCGCACACAGCACGCATCCATCCGTCGCGCGTCGTCCAAAAAAAATCCTTACCGCCTTGGGAGTCGCCTCCACTCTCCTCATCGCCGTCCTCATCGTCATAGTCATCTCCATACTCGTACTCGTCGTCCTCGAGCGACTCCTGCGGGCGCACGGCGGGCTGTCGACCAAGTGCAAACAGCAGCCGGTTCCACGGGCTGAACCGCGCGCGCATGTTTGCCCAGCGGCCATCGTGGGATGCGGAGGAGGCCTCATCGTGGGACGGAGAGGGCGGTGACGGTGGCGATGGTGGCGACTGCGAGCCTGGCCGTTGCGCAGGCGGTGTGGCAGACGAAGGAGACGAGGAGGAGGAGGAGGAGGAGTGTGACGTGAGTGTGCTGCGGTGGGGGATGTGTCCGTGACCAGCGTCGGTTTGAGCGAGAAGCTTACGTTCTGTGGTGAGCCAAGGCAGCGCAACATTCAACCACGAGTAGCGTGTGAGGAATGATGTCATGCGGCAGAGGGAGAAGAAGCACAAGCAGGAGATCAAGCGAATGTTGTGCCGTTTGGTAC